TTGGGTGAGGATGCTGATGAAATTGCAGGCACATGGGAATTCTCAACTTATGTCTCAGGGTTACCGGCGCAGTGGCAGTGTTCCTCAAATCTTTGCGATTTAAAGCTCTGAGTGACAATGCAACTGCTATAGAGAGGCGTGTCGCTTAACACCAGGCGCACGACTTGTTCGCCCTGTCACTTGGTATCATAAATATATATTTTTTATGTATATAAATTTTTGTAACCAAAACTTTTATTCGAGAAAACATTAATTCTTGGACAAAAATAATGTGTTCATTCTCTCACCGTAAGAAAATATATTTCGTGACTGACGAATTCGATGTCGTGACTGGCCTACTAGTATATTGACTGAACAGCACTAATGTAAACAAGTTTTCATTACTGCGTTTTAGACGGAGTTTTTAATTTGTTTATTTAAAAATATTCGGTGCTTAACCAATACATACAAAGAAGAATGCAAAGACGTATTTTTATAAATTTTCTGAAGTTGATGCAGCAACGTAACTGAATACTCATAGTATACAGTCATATCCATTTATTCGTGGCATCGCATCAAAGTAATGTCCAAAATAATTTGTTGAAATTCGATAAAATTGTACTCACTAAATCGCTAATGGGCTTTTGTTGCAATTATTATATTTTATGGCTTCAATAAATCTTGCTCTTGGTTTAACAATGCCAGATGAACACGATTAACATGCTACCAATACAACTTTAACGAAAAATTAATAAAAAAAATCTAAAATATACCATGAAAAAATTTTTCGTTTCCGTTTTTATGTAAAATATGTTAATAAGTTATATAATTATAGCAATATTTATCTATACACATATCATAAACCCTCTATGATGTGTTTAAAAACCGCAACTTACGACCAGCATAAAGATAAACTGTTTTGTTAGAACAAATTTTTATTTTAAGTAAATGTATTCCATAATCATTACATTTTCGACTTTTGGCAATTTACGAGATTCAGCTTTTATAAAGTTCATGAGTCCGTCTGTCATATATCTGCACTAAATAAAACAAGAAGAAACAAAAACGCGTGCGAAAAAAAGTAGAACGATAAACCTCAATACTTTAAAGAAATACCAGAGAACAAAAAGTAGCGTAATATATCTATAGGTTAGAATTACACTTGTAACGTTTTGAGAGATGTCAATTAACTTTTTTAAATATTCCCTGCCGCAAAGGTTAACATTTATAGAGCCATTGATGACGTCACATAATAAATGACTTGCAAAATTTTCAAAAAATCATAACAAGGCAAATAAGCTACCAAATGATAAAAAATTCAAATTAGTGTCTTAAAATAGTCGATATTTCCGAAAAAAATAATTTAATATGTACATAGGGCGCACCATAAGTTTCCGGAACTGGCCACTTACATGAACAATATTTAAAAAGTACAATATTTGAAAACGGAACTCTTTGGCTGTAGAATACAGTTTGTTTCATCTGACTGTCACTTGTTTTTACAATGTGGCGTCATTTTAGAAATTGGTTGTCTACATTTAACTCGTGAAAATTTTCGTAGTATGATTTTCTACGACTTTAAGTGTAAATTAACAGCTCAGCGGAGCTTCGTTCGACTTCAAACTGCTTTTGGCGATGAAGCATCATGCAAGACGATTATTTATAGCTGGTTTGCAGAATTCAAACGCGGTCGGGTGAATCTCAGTGACGAATATCGTGATGGTTGCCCGTCCACTGCTGCGAACAGCATAAACATCGATGCTTTGCGCCGTATGATCAAAGTAGACAGGCATGCGACATACCATGACATTCGGGCATTTTTAGGCATTGGCGTGAGTCAAATACAATGAATACTACACCAACATTTGGGCCGAATGAGCCGAAACCAACCAAAGTGGCGCGCGTGCAAAGTGCATCTAAGCAGATGATTGCTTCTTTTTTTAATGAAACTGGACACGTGGCTACTGTTGCTTTGGAGAATCGTTGTACCGTGAATAGTGATTGATATACGAGCATTTGTTTGCCAGAAGTTATTGACAAACTCCGTAAAAATAACCGTAAACGCCGTATCATCTTGCACCATCATAATGCCAGTTCTCACACGGCCAGACAGAATGAATTTTTGAAGGTGAACAACGTTAACCTTATGAGCCATCCCGCGTACAGTCCCGACCTGGCACCTTGTGACTTTTATTTATTTCCAAAAATTAAGAACCAGTTACGCAGTCAACGATTTTCATCACGTGAAGAGGTTGTCGAAGAGTATGAAAAATATGTTTCAGAGATAGTCACGGAGGAGTGGCATAAATGTTTTCAAAATTGGTTCATTCGTATGAAAAAGTGCATTAACGCTAACGGAGAATATTTTGGGAAATAATAAGTTCATTTCTGACCATTTATACTATTTTTTCTTATTTATTCCGGAAACTTATAGTGCGCCCCACGTTTAGGTAAAAAATTGTGTACAATGGCCCTTAAAACACTCGTGTGATGTTTTAACCCACACTCGTATTTTAATGCCTTTCATTATGTAACAGTCACATAAACTATATAGTACATATTATTATCTTCGTTTTTTTCCTTATATTCATTTCGAACAGCTTGTATGTGTGCGCTCGTATAGCGCTGAAAGTAGAACTGGCTTCCTTGCAACAGCGCGCGCTCTACTGCGGGTAATTTTCGTTAATATTAATTGTGTTTATACATTCATTATATTTTTTTCGTACGATGTTTCCATTTAATAAAATTGTTGTTTTCCATATTATTGTTAGAGGACTTGCAACACTTATACAAATTTGTTTATGCTTAAGAGTGTAAAGAAAAACTGTGATAATGTTTAAGAAATTATTAAATAAATTAAAAAAAAACGTAATCATACGTCAAAAGAGCCTTTATCACATGAAAGTCATGAAAATAATACGTAGTACATGTAACAACAACATACAACAAGCACATATATAAACTCGATATTGGGGGGACTTCACATACCTACTCACTCACTACTTGTAAACGCTATTGGGTGTTTGATGTAGTTGGAAAAATATTTGACGTATAGACAAACATGCAAACACTGACAAATATGACCATCTATACATGCAGCCAAATAAAGAGTTAAAGCAATAAATATTATTATGATCATAGTTGGTTTAGCGGTTTACTTGCGTATTTGCCTATTTTGCTGTATTTGTCGAATCGGCAAACAATGCAAATACGTTGTCACACATGCTATCTACACATAGTGATTGTTTGCCAAATACATCAAATACGCAAATACAAATGGCCATCTGAAGTGTCGCTAGCTACTAACTCGATCTGTACCTCACCTCAGTAGCCACGTTGAGGCAACAGCCGCTGCTTCGGCTCTGTAGTCGAAGGAATTTTTATTGTGTTTGTTCGATCTTTCTATCAATAATAATTACATGAAACTAATTATGCGTAAGTGAATTTTTATGAATATCCTATTTAATAATCTCAGTATAGAGTACTAAAAAAACCGACCTCGAAAGTCATTCCTGCCCTAGTTTACCACCCTTAGAGGTGGAATATTGTCTTCCAATTTAAATAGGAACACTTCTGAGGTACCCTCTTTCCGACAAAAAAAATCATCAAAATCGGTTGACAAAATTTTTAGAAACAGTGTTATCGCGTAACATACGTAAGAAAAAACATACAGTCGAATTAAGAACCTCCTCCTTTTTTTGAAGTCGGTTATATATAAACCTTTTATCGATGAATTTAATTCGTAGAATGTTTAAGCCATTCTCCTATAAAGTTGTTATTTTGCAGATGTAGCCTCATTGAACCAAGGATGCGAAATATTAAATATAAGAAATATATTTAATTTTAAGTTGAGATACGTGTATACACGTTAAAGTACGTGGCTATATACAACTCGTGCCTTAAACGGGAGCACTCGAAATTATGAAAAATACTACATGAAACAATGAATAAATGAATTGTAGTAAGGCTTACTTTTCAACACAACAGTATCACTAAATTCATTAATTAAAATCCGAATTACCTTTTTCCTGATTCACATAAGGAATATTCATATTATAGATTTAGGTTAAGAGTGAAATACAAAACTTCCTTAAAAGACCGTAACATTGATTTAATTTTGTTTTTGTGAATATTTTCTTTTACATTCAAATTTTTAGTTATAGTTATTTTTGCTATTTCTCCCATTCAAGGCGTTTTTCTCTCAATATACTTTGAATAGTGTCGTAGTGAGAACCTATTTTTATTATCTCCAGTGTCAAGTCCTGTATAGTGACGAACTAGGGGATATTTCAATAAAACTTAGCAAATAGCCGTAATTCCACGTACTTTTGAGGTCGGTTTTTAGTACTCTGTACTGAGATTATTTACTGTTAATATTAGACGCACCAAAAATATTACAATGCGTAGTTTATGTGTGATGTACAATTGAAAATGTCTATCAATGGAATTACTTTTCAAATAACACAAGCCGTTTTGAGCTTAGGATTTAAGATTGTGAATAATATTGAATTAGTTATAACCAGACTTCGCTTTGGCAACTAGGAAAATTACATTTTAATTGAAATAAAAGGTTTCAAGAATTTCAACTAAATTTTAAATAAAATTTAAGATAAAAGCAAACTGGTTTAAGCTATGATTGTTTTATGGCTTAAGCGTAATAAATAAGGAAATGACGAACAAAATGTAGGCACATTTTTTACGTGTTTAATTAAATCCTAAAAAATATTTTCGTTGACATAATGGCGTGTCCGAATCTAATTCGTTCCAATTTTCTTTTTTGCAGGTTGCCTCGGAAATGACGTCGGATTAGATTAGACAGGAAGATGTGACCGAACCGTATCGTTGAGGAACAAACTTGGAGGGAAAAAATACAAAATGTCTGAAGAGACTACTTCAAGATAACAAGACGATTCTTCAAATAGAAAGTGTTCTTCTAGTCAAAGATTAATGTACAAAGATAATGATAAAGATATTAATGGTGGCAATGATATAGCTGTTCGTGATAACGATAACGAAGTGAATGTACAGAAGTCGAAAACGTGTCGGTTAAACGTGTGATTAAAATTTTAACTTACTAAAACTCAGTGAAGTTACTCGATCTTCTAGGGAATTTCCATATTAAAATGTTACACCGTTAAATAATAGTGGTCATGTTCATAAATTCGTATAACTAAAAGATGTTAATAATATAATGAAGTGAAAATAAAATGCCAAATTAGTGTAACAAGCATGGGTTGCCAGTTGGGAAAGCTGGCGGCGTCGGAGAGACGAGGAGCCAACAATGCAGGTCCAGATTTAGGAGGAGGGCCCCCACCGGCCACGGACCCTCGCCTACCGCTCACCGCGAAGCAGAAGTATTCAATGCTTGCTTCCTGGAAAGGCATTTCGAGAGCAATGGAGAAGACTGGCATTTGCATGTTTGTAAAGTGAGTATTTTTACATTTTATGATCCATTATTCGTTTAAAATTCTAAAGTATGATAGCATGAATTATTTTAAGGTATACTGAAGTAGTAGCAATAGCGCTCCTTGTGAAAGAGTTCGTCCATGGTGGTACTGCCACCTTACCTATTTCTACCGCCAAGCAGTAACGTCAGCACTACTGTGTTCCGGTTTTGAAGGGTAAGGGTGCTGGTGAAATTACAGGCACGTAGGACTTGTCAACTTATGTCTCAAGGTGACGGGAGCAGTGGAAGTGCCCTTCAGATCTTTGCAATTTAAAGCTCTGAGTGGCACTGCAACAGTTATGGACAGGCGTGTAGCTTACCGTCAGGCCATTATTACAAAAAACTGAGTTTTTACAATAATGTTACAAGTACACATACCACATTAATATAACCAGAATAAACTATGCCTTTTAGAGAGCTCCACCAAACCGAGCAGGAAGGTTAGGAAACTACAGACAGTCTTTATGTCTCAGCTTGACGGGTGAAGTGGCAATCTTGTCGCTTTAAAGCTCTGAGTGGCACTGCAGCTGATGTAAATGGGTGTGCCCATACCACCATTGGACATGAACACGACATCTTCATACCATCACTTTTTATCATAAAAAATATTAGCCGAGAACCGCACAGTGATAAATAATAACAAATTATCAATATGAAGGTGGATATAGCGTGAAGAGAGACAAATGAAGACCGCCGAATTTTATGTCAACAATAAAAAAATCAAATTAGGTAAATTAACCTCCGATTATCATAATTTCAGTCATCGATACGTTTTGGAATTGGATTGGATTTAACGAACCTCTGATAACACCACAGGTATTATTAGGCTTTGGACATCCTGGTTGTAATAGGTTAGATGTTGAGGTAAGTTAACACAAAATCACGCGTGTAGAAATTTTAAAAGTTTGTTTTTTAAGGTTTATTGAAAAATAACCAAGACAAACTTAGCATAAAAATAATATTGTACGTAAACCGTATAGATATTAAAAGCCAGAAGTAGGTTCTTAGGCTGTAAAAGTTGCTTTTATCCTTAAAATACATTTCGGGTCGATATTCATAAAACCGCTATGGGTTTACCACAAATCGTAGCCTTCGTGAGCAAAAGACGCATTACCGAGCCACCTCGAAACGGTGTCACTCGTAAATTCGACCATAATGGTGGCCTAATGTATATTTTTAACCTTTTCCTATCCGATAAATATTGAAAGAACTTGTGCCACAGCTTTCTTCTCTTTATTTCTTTCCTTTACGATTAATAAATTACTCTTATTAAGTTATGCATCTTTTTTCACGTTAAGTACACGGCCATTTGCGTTCTTAATGTTTGCTTTAATTTACAAATTGGTTTCAGAAGGCCGAAGCTCATGTTTCAAATTAAATTGGCTTTTCTATTGTTGATTTACTAATAGGCCAAAGTAATAAATATGTTTACGTATTTGATCAATAAGTAGAGGTATAGTAATTGTTAGTGTCAGCTCATATGAAACAGACGCAATGCGGTGAAATAAATTAGGTTGTTTCATATTTAATAGGATTAAAATAGAGCATTTTATTATAATAATAGGAAGATTTACAACCTAATCTATTCGGCTTTTATGTATCTATGGTTTATAACAAAATATATGTAATATATATATGGTTTATAAAAAACTAAGACCATTTACAGCGCGTGGTGCCCAGCAGTGGGACATTTGAAGGGTTAGCGATGATGATGAACGATGACAGAGTACGAGTAACTGCGAGTCTCTATTTACACATAAGATTAGAATTGAGATCTACGCTACTCTCGAAAATTCGGTTTAAATCCTAAAGTAACTATAAGCCACACGTGCTGTAGATTGTAATTAACAATTTAGAATTATAATTTAATGTGTTTAACAGAATTCCATGTTACGTAGTCGTAAATATTTTACAAATTGTGTTACTGTTCACAATATCAGTGAGAGAAGCGCCACCACCTTGAAAAAAAAAGGTAACATAATTGTGTGTATTTTCTATAACGCGCTATTAAGTGTTAAATAAAATTGTATGTCGATTGATTTACTGTATATTAACTTGCCACTGGAAAATTTAATTCGTTTCGTTTTGGGTATTTTTAGAACACTGTACAAAGAGAGTTCTGAAAATTTCAAGATTCGATTATCTACTAAAAGCAATTTCGTAAATATCTCCAAGGTAATGTCAATCTTTATAATATAAAGATAGAAGAGTCTATCCCGTCCAAATTCGATTTCGAACTTAAAGTAAACTCCGAAAGTATACACCCTAAACGTTTCACCTAAAACATCTGCCAAAGGCAATAACACTTAGGCAAAGTCTGATGTGGCCCAAACTTCTATCATAAAATAACATCAAAAAAAGCTTTAAGAGAAAAAATAATAATCAAACTTGCGTCGAGAAACAATTGTTTCGAAACTTTTGTCAAATTATTCGCAATCTACTTCAATACAATTTCTTCTGTAACATTCGAAAAATTTCCAGAAAGTTCGAAAAACTTCATCGTTTCATTCTATTTATTATACTGGGTAATTCTCTTTTAAAGTTAGGGATTACCTTGCTAGTTTTCTGTTGTTGCTGTTGTTTTTACGAACCTAACCATATTTTTTGACAATTTTAATTAATAAATACTGTTAAGTGTGCAGTAAAATATAAAAGATTTAAACCATGATTTACTACGTTGGCCCAATGCGGGTTAGCCTGGCAATTCATTTGAATCACTGACCGGACACAAGTCTTCTAGTTAATCCAATAAAATTTCGATCGAACCAATGATCTTATGGTTGAACGCAAATTCCATAAAAGTTAATTTTTCATTCATCCGAAAACTGCCGTCCATATTATAAAAACAATCAAGTTTCGTTATACGAGTTTCTATAATTCGAACATTTTTTCCAAACATTGTTATTTTTACTAAGCCTGCGTCAGCTTGCTCATCGAATAGTATAGGAAGTACTTAAAGAATTATTCTGTGAACAGTTCACAACAACAATTGTTTTGTTTTAATATAGGAATGCTTTACACTAGGCTTCATAACAATAACATAAGAAACCTCGATACAAAACGATATACTCCAAAAAATCAATAAAGTCACAAATCACTCCTCGTAAGTTAACAACTCGTCGTGACCAATTTAACGAGCTCAAAACTTGTTTGTACGGTAAGTAGATGAGGAGTTAGTTAGTCTGTAGACTGTCCAGGTCGAAATATCAGATCAAGGTTGTTTCATCAGATTTCAATAGCATATCAAATTACAAGTCGTTCAAGTTCGTAGTTCAAGTGGAAGCAAATTAAGCATCATATTGTGTCAACCTTACCTAGTGCCCCCGGAGCGTACTCGCAAGCATCCGAGTCAATATCGCGACAATCACCCATATTCAAACTCGAATCATCTTTGTTTTATAGGTAAGCAAATTACACTTGCAATCGTCATATTTATTAAACTCTACTTGCTCATACTTAAGGCGGACTCCCCTTAGAAGAAGTTGCTCTTTGTAAATATGCATTTGAATACATTTATCATTTACAATATTTATTTCAAACAGATCGAGAACACCTGCAAGGGCTAAACGAGTTTTAAACCGCGGGTTTTGTCATCTAAGTACCATCACCGAGTGATATAATCGATTAGTCTTTGTGAATGTACATGGCGCTTCTCACCATCGACCCTGTTTTGTCCAAATATGCAATATGACATTCTGCATGAACAAATATGGTAATAACTAAACTATTTCCGGTAACGTCCGTCCGACTCTCAGCCCCGCGCACCCCAGTTAGTATCTGAAAGTCCACCATTAACGTTAATCGATACAGATAGATTTTCATGTGCGCGTGTCTTTTCTGCTTTATTAGTTCTTATTTTATTTATTTTCGTCGATATTCCTGTGAATGTCTCTGTGTTCCGTTTTTACCAATAAATGACCGTAGTGCTGCTCTACCGCTGACTTACTTTGATTAGCCTGGTTTATAATATTCAATTTATCACTGAGATCCCTGCACTAATTGGGAAAAGAACTGATGATCTTTAAACAGCTAAACCGATGTGCCTGAATTGTATCTAAGAACCATCCCGATTAAATTAATAAAATTTGCCACAGGCTGAGTGTCAGTGTGTACTGATGCCCGATGAAGTCCGTGCAAACGGGCTGATATGGTGTCAGGACCTGACTGAGTAGGTCCCATGTGCGAACTTGCTTGCACAGATTATAGTGCCACTCCTGTATAACCAAGAGGTTGATAGGGAGGGTCACTGTAAGCAAAACTTATGTAGACAATATAAGGGAGCTGTACATAGGCCAAGGCTTCAAGCTTATAACTCCCGTCTCAACTACTTAACCTATAGAGGCCAGGCCAAAGTAGTGGACTTCAGTAACTGACTTAGACTGTGTTTGCTTTACAGGATAATTTATTTTACTATACACGATTTATTGAAAAAAGAGCTTCAATCTCCAAGTTTCTACCAGTTCCGCGTGACATCGTTTCAATTTATTATAATCCAGATTGTAACAAAATCGTTCCCCGTTGTCATGATATGCTTACATACGTACAAGTTTGAGGCTTTCTTTGACGAAAGGTGCCGTATTTGTTTCGTCTTTCTTTTTTCTTTCTCTTCTCAATTTTTTCTTTTTTTTATTTTTTCTTTCTTTTTTCAATTCTCGAAGGTTTTGTAAGAAAAGCGCGATCAATAGATCTCGATTTAATTTTAACGGTATTTACATTTTATAAAAATGTTGTGTTGTTTCGAACTCTTTCCAGATCTTATGATCACGTCTGACTGACAGTAAAGATGCGATAAGGTGGTTTGTTTGAATTGGTGATTTAGATCCGAGAAAAACTTGTAGAGAAAAATTGATATGTTGTTTTTATGTTAAATTACTTTTACTGTAAGTACGCTTGATCTATAATTATAAGAAATTGGAGTAACAATAATAATAATCTTTTATTTCAAACTTGTGTTCATATTTTCTTAATAACAATTTTCTT